AAACAAATTCAACTACGAGTCCTTCGTTACCTTAAACGAAATAGGGTAAGTAAAGCTCTTTCTCTTATAAATCCAAGTTCAATAAAGATGATAATGATGAAGAAGACTCACGTTTTGAGGGTCCTTGGCCAAACAGCAGTCGACAAAGTCTTTGAATGGTCGAGAAAATTCGCCGGCCAATTGGGGTGACGGGTTGTGCGGGATATAGAGTAGGGCCCGCATTGGATGCAAGTTTGAATTAGGCGGCTCACCCTTGGCCATTTCAATGGCAGTTATTCCGGTAGACCATATGTCGGCCTTCATGAAGAAAGTTGAGATTAAGAATTGAATTGATAGTGGAAACGATAAGCAATATTTTATTAATTAAAAGCTTTGTGCTAATTGGAAAGTTGAAAACAGAGAATATGCTATGAAAATATAAAAGACACTAGTGATTTCAAGATACCACACAAGGCTAACATATAAAGAAGTCGATCTGAGGATATACCCTTGGAAATTAATCTTAAGATTTGATGGAATTCACCAAAAAGAGTGCATGTATAGAGGCCTGGAGTAGATTATAGAAGGAAAGAAAGCACTTTATTCTGAAAGCCATGTAGGCATAATAAGATAATTATTCACTAAACATAAATCTTTAAATCGAAATACTATGAAATCTTACTCCGCTTTATCGTATCCATCAATACCACTTGCATTTAACAAAATAGCACTTGAAGTATATAACAGAGTGCAAGTATTTAGTAGCCAGAGCAATATTGTGTGTGGAAAGTAGACCATTAAACTCAGGTATGATTAACATTCACTATTTTAGTAAGCCTTTATACACAAAGCTTCATCTCAATTGAATATTGACCATCCAAAAACTTCATTTTGCTCAGGCTTTATCTGGCTAAATATCCTTACCTTCATTTTCCCAATTGTGAAACATAATTATTATATTAAGAATTGTTATCATAGCAAATAAAAAAATAAGAAAAAATTGATTAAAAAACTAATTAGAAGAGACATTTTTCAAAAGGAATTTAGAATAGAAATTGTTTATTTATTGATAGATTATAAGGTTGAGCTTAAATCAAGCTTAATGTAAAATGTTTTCAGTGATTTTAATCTGCATATATTTGATGTTGATGCAACTAATAAATACGTATTCTCTGCTAGCAAAAAATCAAATTTGATATCGCTAATCATGAAGCCAGATCTCGAAGTTTCATCGTGGACCAGTAACTTTAAACGATGCAAAATTTGAAGTTTATTAAAAATTGAAGACACTTCATTTGAATTTATAAAAAAAAGAAAATAGATAAAGATTAAGGCTTAAATAAAAACAAATAAATAATGGTGTAAAGTTGACTTAATTTGTCAAAAATAGCAATCCTGTGAGGATAAGGTAAATTCTAAAAAAATCAAAAAGCCTTCCCTTCGAATATTAGAGAGCCTATAATCTGACTTTATTTGATTTTTCCAAGTTCGCTATTGAAAAGTTTGGATATGATAATCAGGTTATAGAAACATAAATTAATCGAAAGTATAAGACCAAGATGGTGTGGCCTTTTTTTTGTGATCGCAGTCTCCTTCCGTTGTATAGAAGTTGTTTGACCTTGTTTGCTTACTTGCTAGTATCAGTCTCATTTTGTCTAGTTAAGGTTATAAGACCCATTCCTATGGAATCTTAAATGATCGAATTACACCTAGCTTCAGAGGAGAAAAGTTTAATCTTATTCTTCATAGGCTCTAAGAGTCTTAGTCTTTCGAATAAGTACAAGCAAAAATAATTTCAAATCTAATATTGGCCTTACCTTGAAGTCGTAAGCAGAGAACTTGATGACTTCAGGCGCCATCCAGAATGGAGTACCTACAAACGTGACTCTTTTATTTGTTGTTGAAGTAAGTTGGCCAGCCACACCGAAGTCAGCAAGCTTCACATCACCCTGCTCAGAAAGGAGAACGTTGGCCGCTGGGTGGGAGTATAGGAAATATGATAAATGGATTTTAAGTCATCCAAACACAGAATAACTTAAATGAAAACACGTAAAAAGAAAAAGACAATCGAAAATAAACCTATGTTAAGATTCAATTATGGAACGGGATGAAGGAAAACTTAATTTTAGCAAAATAAGTAAGGTAGTGTGGAAGTGAGAAAAAGGGGGAAGCGAATAATGAAATAGAGACGACAAAGGTTGAATAAAATAAAGTAGAACACAGTGAAGGGCAACAAATATCAAGAAAAGAGAATTTTCCATTTAAAGGAATGGATTAGTAATGGGGAAAATATACTAAAAAAATCATTGGGTAGAAAAGGAATGACAAACAAGGGAGTAAAGTAGAAGAAGTTTGAAACATCAACCATATTTAAGAAAAGTGGATATTAACAAAAATTTACTCAAAGATAAATTGGAATATAAGATTTTATAGATAAAAATAAAGAATGAGCATACATCTGAGCTGAAACAAATAGGAAGGTGATGAAAACTAATTTGTAATTATGTAGAA